CACCCCTCTATACCCAATCCATTCCTCCGCAGCCATTCATTGCTGTATCCTTTCTGCTGTCATTGTATTTAGCGTTTAGTTTTGTTGCTCTCATTTTGAATGAGTGTATGATTTAAATGTGACATTAATTTTGGATGAATTGCATTAATTCAGGTGCGGGTGAGTCCGGGAAGAGTACGATTGTGAAGCAAATGCGGATTTTACACGTCAATGGATTCAGTGAAGAGTAAGACATCAATATATTTCACATCAAATATCTAATCATTTATTTACCACTTATTTATTGCTTTGTTTTGTTAAAAATTTTTGTTGTTTTGATTTTTGAATCACTCGTTAAATACTGTTAACAATTTGTTAGATAAATATATTGTTGGTTATAATTAGCGATAGTTTTGTTTTGTTGGTCACAAATGAGTGATATATCTATACATTAGTCCGAAACGAAGAAGTGGTGAATAGCAATGAAAAGATGCATTTAATATATTGAATGTGTGTTTAGTATTTCAGAGATAATAAGCCAAATGAACGCGTATTACAGCGCAGTTTTCGTCTTGTAATTAATTATTTATTTAATTTGAAACTCATTTCAACTCTATTTTTGAAGTGTTAGCACAAAAAAGATGTGATTTTTTTCGTCGCATTCAATCATTTGAGTGTAATATTTAGGCGAAAATGAAAAAAAATGGTAAATAACTAAACGATTCATTCGTTACCATAAAAGCAGTCATACCTATGATATAGAAGAAAAAAGTGATGATAACTTTTAACTCTTCATAAATACGAGTTTGTATTTAATATATAATATATAAATATTTATAAATTTATTCCGCTATTCCAATCCTTAGTTACTAAAGGGATATCACATAAGCAAACACTCGACAGCCTATTGTATGCCTAAAATTTGTCATATGTTTTAAAGGCATTGTGTTTTAATAGGGTATATGTTTTAATCGGCTATTATTTCATTGAAACAAACATTTGACAATTGAACACAATTTTGTTTGATTTTCTCAATTCTTTTTGTTTCAATAATTGGTAGTAATATTTGATAGCATTTGCAATCGATATTTGTTTAAAGATTTATATTTATATTCTTGTAAAACGACATAAACTTTTCGATAATTTATTGCATATTTTGGTTTTCAATAAATATTTATTTTGATTACTAATAACCGGATTCTCGATACGGTTTTGTCGATTTCTGCTTCACATATAATGCCGTAACTAAGGCTTGAATTAGACTCCAATTCAATTCAATTGTAAAATTGGCTTAACTTTAGATCTAATGAGAGATAAAAAGGATTATTTGTTTTGTTTTTTATCTCATTCTTCTTAATACATAGTATTATGATATGTCTAATAAAAATCGAGTGATTTATTTCACTTTAAACGATTAAAACTATAAATAAATAGTACTTTACATTACTTTTTATAACTTGTAATTTATTTGTTGTTTCTTTTATCTTAACTTTTATTAGTGTTTATCTCTAATTTATACTGTATTTATATAAATGTGTTAATCCCACGGATTAACAAACACTTTAAAAATGCATTTCTAGAACAATACGTGCAATAATTCAACATTTTTCCCATTCAATAGCGAAAAAAGGCAAAAAATAGAAGATATTAAGAAAAATATTAGGGATGCAATTCTGGTATGTTTTCATATTGACATTTATATGATATGATTATGTATTAGCGAATGTGTGTCCATATATGCAGACAATAACGGGTGCGATGAGCACTTTGGTGCCTGCGGTCCAGTTGGAGAATTCAGACAACCAGTGGAGAGTCGACTACATCCAAGACGTCGCCAGTAATCCTGACTTTGATTATCCCACTGTAAGTCATTTATCATCTCATTTCATATAAATATACCTTAATTACGGCGTTTGTCGCCTAAACCACAGTATGTATGCCCACAGAGACTGTCAATTGGGAGCGTGAATGAGTGCGGGGGAGGGCTTATATCATAGCCAAAGCCCCCATTTATAAGAGCTTTATATAATTGAATCATTGAATTGAATGCTTTTTGCTATGTTTATGTTTTTAAATTGATTTTAAGTCTATTGGCAATTCATATCTATGTTATTTATAATTAGCGAATACCTCACAATCAAAAGCCTGAGCTTATAAAAGTCGACAGAATTGAGTGCTTTATTATAAATGGGTTTAAAATAGTAGGAATAATAAGCCCAGGGCTTCATTGCAATGGTTTACTGTATTCTTATGTTAACAAATCTTGCATTTGTTTATCATTTGAGACGAATCTCTCATTTTGATAAGAGATTTATTTGAAACCCATTTTTATTTCTCAATTAATAATTTTGTAAAATAAATTCAATCGCGTATACGAGTGCTTGCATTCAATTTAATACACATTTAAAATAAACATTAAATATATTCAGAGTTTTTGATTTTTAAAATTTATACACAAATCCTGTTTTTAAGATGATTTCAAATGCTCTTCAATTAATTAAAAAGTGAATATTTTTGATTTGCTTTCGAAATGTTGGTCACGTTATCATATATTTGAAAATCACTGAAAAAAGTTACACTCATTTTGGAATAACTTTTGAGAATTAAATATATTATTAAAAAATTGCAATGAAATGGCATTGAATTGATTGATATGTTTCTCAAGAATAACAGTTAACACTATTTTTTATAAACATTTGTTTATTCTATAAATAAATGAAAATCTCTTAAACTTTCCTTTTTTTATCAAATATAAAGAAAGAGTCAATTAATAGAGGATTAGAACTATTATTTAAATTATGGCAACATTTATATACATGTATATTAGTATTGATTGATGTAATGGTTAATTGTTTTGCATGTTATCCAAAGCGTTCAATCATTGAAGAAACATTGTTGTAGTTGTTTCGTAATGTTTGTACACTTTGTTTATTTTGATTTATTTTCACGTTTTCCACTCACACAATGCTATTCGCGTTTTAATAGTTATATTTAATATTTGGGTTTATTTTAAGTTTCGGTTATTTTTTGTTTCTATATTTTGATTCTTTGATTCGCTTCTCTCTAGTCGTCAGTTAGGCTTTGAACTGGCGTTTAGCCCAACAGTACTGCCAGTCCTCCCCCTCTTCACTCCACTCCAACACTGCATTCATAAATCAATTTAAGAATAGCTATGAATGAGAGACTTTTTTGGCAAATGTTTTCTCAATTTAAACTATCAATAAATGCATAAATAGTTAATTAATTTGCTATACACTTAAAATGCAATTTAATTGTCATTATCACCACATTATCTCATTTATTGTCTCTTTCTTTAGGAATTCTATGAACACACAGAAGCTCTTTGGAAGGATAGGGGAGTTTTGGGGGCGTTTGAACGATCCAATGAATACCAATTAATAGATTGTGCAAAATAGTCAGTATCCATCACTTGCATCACTCCATCACCGCTTTACTAACATGTGTTGTGTGCCTACAGTTTCTTAGATCGGGTCCATATCGTCAAAATGGCTGACTATACGCCTTCAGAACAGGATATCTTGAGATGCCGTGTCTTAACCTCAGGAATATTTGAAACCAAATTCCAAGTGGAAAAAGTCAACTTCCAGTCCGTGAACTCTCCACTCATTTGTATGATATGTTTGTAACACATATTTGTCTGATATGTATGAACAGTATGTTCGATGTCGGCGGACAGAGGGATGAGAGACGCAAATGGATCCAATGTTTCAATGACGTGACTGCCATTATCTTCGTCACCGCCTGCAGCAGCTATAATATGGTGCTCAGGGAAGACCCCAATCAGAACCGGTTAAGGGAATCACTCGATCTCTTCAAGAGTATATGGAATAATAGGTATTTTATGAGGCGTTCAATTAATCCAGTGTTTGATTCGCTCTTAAATATATATTGATTACTCATTGGATTGAAGTTTTTGACAATTTACTTATTTTTATCTATGGGTTAATCATTTTTGGGAGTTGTGTTGGGTTTTAGCCAATTATTAACTTAAGGCTAATCATAAGTAAATGACTTATCAGAATATCTTTTAATTTAATTCTTTATATTAATGTCTATTTATATATTATTGCATAAAATAATGAATAGAATTAGCAATTGGTATGAAATCTAATCAGCAATTGATTTATCAATTGAAACCTTTAATTCTCAATAAATACACATTTCCAATACATTTGAAAATAGATGTATTGAACAATATTAGTAAAGGTTTAAGAATTTTGATTTAATGACTATATTGATGAAATGTTTGTTTATGAACGCATATTTACCATATTTACAGGTGGTTAAGGACGATATCTGTAATATTATTTCTCAATAAACAAGACTTATTAGCCGAAAAAGTAAAGGCAGGAAAGTCTAAAATAGAAGATTATTTTTCTGAATTCGCTCACTACCAGACGCCCCCAGACGGTCAGTACATTCACATTGCAATTGATGCCAATTGTGGACAACTAATCAATGTTTTCACCTCATTGTATAGCAGTGTTTGATCCGGGAGAGGATCCAGACTTCGTTAGAGCCAAGTATTTCATTAGAGATGAGTTCCTGGTATGTCTTGGTTTGCTGTTAACTATTGATTTGATGTGTTTGTAACCGATTGATATGTTCTCACAGCGCATCAGTACAGCCAGTGGTGATGGGAAGCACTACTGTTATCCCCACTTCACGTGTGCGGTCGACACGGAGAACATCAGACGCGTGTTCAACGACTGTCGAGATATAATACAAAGAATGCATTTACGACAATACGAGTTATTGTGATTTCGGTGCAAACCTTTATTACTCTAATACATTAGGTTTTAATAAGTGTTCAATCAATTGATTTTCGCCCAAACATTACGGAAACAAAAAACTTTTTAATTAACAAAAAAACACAAAAACAATACCTTTTAAAAGCAAAAGTCTAGAAAACATAAGTCAAAAGGGTTTTTGAAGTTGTCTTCAGTTTTGATGATTTTGTTGATTATTGAATGCCATCCGAAGGCCAGCAGTAAAACCAATACAACAGCAGAAAACAAATCGAAACGATTCCACGATTTAATAGTTCGCCGAAAAACAAAAACGACAACATATTTAGGAAATTATGATTTTCTTTCGTTGAGAATATATATTGAAACAAATGTTGAGTCACTCGTCAGTCTTGAGCACTCATTGTGTGAATTCATCGAAATCGCAGGTCATCTGGAAGTGATGTGAAGTGATAGGGAGGTCACAGTCATAGCGTCACTCATCTCTCTGCCATTGTCTACATTATTTTGTGAGCCATTGTTTTAGTCATCTCTGCCATCTCTGCCAACCACTCTCTGCCTATAATCAAGAATTTTTGGTCCATTAATCAAATGCAACCCATTTTCAAATGTTTTACAAACAAAACAAAACACAAAACAAAAATTCTTGTAAGTCGTGCTCATAATTGATATAATTATGATTTTTTGCGCTCTTCTATGAGACGAAAAAACAAATCAATGGTTTATTTTGAAGTCAAGTCTGAAGAAGAATACAAAACAAAAAATGAATGCATTTTTCTGTCGAATTTCATGCAAACGCACATCAAATGGATTCTGATTTTATTAATCGATTGAAATTATGATTTAGTTTTGAAACAAAATAATAAATGGAAAACAAAACATATGTTTAATAAATGAATGACATTTGAATTGTTTTACATTCAGTCAGTTCTCAGTATTAATAATAATACACTTAATAATGAAAATATTATTTACGATTTAATTGAAAAAATGAATTATACTTTTGAAACACAGAAACAATAATAATTTGAAGAATACTTTGATTACAGTTATTGATAGCAAAACACACGAAAAGAATAATCGAAATAATAGTCGAATTCTTTGTTATATTTCTCGACACAAGAAATTGAGAAACTATTGATTGGTTTGATATTTGAAAATATAAACATTGAATTATAAATTAATTATGACTTAAATTACAACCAAAATATTTGCTACAATTATTTGTTGTGATTTATATTAAGTGATTCCAACCAGAAATTGATTTTAATGGCAGTTATTCTTCACATTCATTATTATCTCTCAATCATTCATCGCTCGCCAGCCGTCACACCGTTTATCCAAATCTCAATAAATATTTCATTTAATATCTGTTTTAATGTTTTTTTGACTTTATATGAAAACAACAACAATTGTCAAAATTGGTTTCAATATTGCTCTCTTCATCTCTTTCTCCCCTCTGCCCCCTCCCTCTCCTCTCTCCCCTCCCTCTCTGCCCTTAAGTGTTACGACAACCAAATGATTATTGAATTATATTTTACTTAAAGTCTGTTGTTATGGTTTTTCTGCTGAAGTTTTATACAAAATGAAATGCGAATTACGAACTGATTATTGAAATTCTTCATAAAATGACAGATTATTTCCACAAATGGTTTCACAATTTCTTTTAATTTCTGAAAACATGGACTCAAAATGAAACTGAATTTGAAGTAAACAATACAATAGACTTTCTGTGCATCACTTTTTGTATTTAGATTTTCTTCTCATTTATGTATTTGTCGTTTAAATACAGAAATATTTCAAACGAACCAAAAAACACCAGAAAATCGTTTAATAGAAAAAACTTGTCATTAAATATAAAAAAATTAAATAAAATTTTATTCAGAAAATGAATGTGAAATGAAGTGAAGCCTCTATTCTTCCTCACAATTATTGTCTTCGATTTAATAACAAAACAAATTTTATGAAAATTTATATTTACTTACTTTTGCCCCCTATTAACCTTTATTTCTATCTCCTCTCTCTCTCCCCCCCCCTCTCTCTCCCTCTCTCTCTCCCTTTAATTTGGTGTTATAAACCAGTTAGTGATTGCCGGCGCGAGTCAAATGGTTTTTAATAAAAATGATATAATAATTAAATTTTTATGTTTTAATACAAAAAATAAATGTCAGACAAGAAAAGCGAAAAGCAGTGCAACAGAAAGGACTGCCCATCGGTTTAAATGTAATAATTAATAATAATTTGAATTCTTTTTTGCAATTTTTGTGCGAATTTTTCATGTTTTTTCTCACATCTAATCCATTACTTTTGAACACCAGTTCTGGTCAAACACTCGATATATAAATATATAAATATATATAATATAGGATTCAATTGAATGTTAATATTTGGCTAAAAATTTATATATAAAAATAAGTAGTTTTTAAAAAAACAAAAAACAATAATAATTTAGTTATAAATTTTAATTAAATTATTTGTCGCTCTCTTTTTGGTCTTTTTAGTGAATTCTAAGAAACAAATTATATATTTCTGTTGTTTTCAATTAAATTTATTATTACTTATTATTATTATTATTAAATATGATTTTATTTGTATAATAACTGTTGTCTCTGTTGTAGAAAAACAAATCAACATTTTTTAATTTAGTAACACATATAAAAAACAATGAATTTTGTTTTGAGAGCAAAAAATCACAATTTGGTTCAAACTCTTCTCATTTTTATTTTTCAATTAATGTTTTAAATGACAAAACAATTAGATTTTTTAATTTTAAATAATTTTAATTTTAGTTTTACTTTATTTATGATTTTATAAAAAAAAAGTTATTAAATTATCCAAAGCTTTTGATTGAATGACAATTAAATGACTAATACTTTTGCAAAATATTGTTTATTTTATTACCAACGGGTTTCTCTAAACTATAAACTCAACGATTTTACAATCACTTAGACATCATCTGAGGACGACTTTTGTCTTATAGCAAATTGTTTAAAAATTAGTTCAAATGAATGGATTCTCAATTCATATTCTGTCCCATAAATAGAGATAAGTTTTTAAATTGTTTTATAGAAAGCAATCTAAACCGTAATACAGATGCGATGTGCCATCTCTGTGGTCTACGTAAAAAATGATCTAGGTAAAAAGGTTGGTGAATGGTCTATTGTAGCAATAACTTGAATGGTCTGCAAAATTACAAAATAAGTATTACTTTTTATTAATAAGGCTGTGTTTGTAAGTCTAATAACGTATAGAAATGTGTATATTATTTAAGAGATTATTGAGTAATTTTGTGAATTATGTATAACTTGTGATTTTCGGTCATTGAAAACACAATATCTAAAATTTATCTAGATTCATCAATATCTAGATTCTAAATCAAGAGTAAGAATATTGAGTTCAAAATGATTTAAGAATAAAATACGATATTTATTATTATACAAATTGTATTTATTAATAATTTATATACTTGTATTATAATGCCATTAAGATTTGATTGAATCACACAAACGATTATGATGAAAATGAAAAGTCAAATGTTATGCAAAAATAGCTATAAAACGCTTAACTTTTTCAATATTACCAAATCTATGGAACCAATCATTTATTATAAATGTGTGTAAAAATTATTTTCGATAAATTACATAACGTTATGCCAGTCATCAGAAAGTATTTTCTCATAAGTTGTGAATGAAATAACAGTAATGAAACAATCAATGAGTTTTACAAGTGTTTAATACAAGTCATAAGAATTCATTTAATTTTATTTGCAACTTTCTCATCAATTTATTTCATTTGGTTAGACCTAGTATTTCCAGAATGTACACCAGCGTACACATAGCATTTATAATAGAAAAGGTCATTTATGTAAAGAAATTACTATTACTATATTATTCATATATAAGGTAAGCATTTATTGTGAGTTGGGTTTAAACATTACAAATATTATATTAAAAATGGGACACTAAATGACTAAAACATTGTAACGTTTATAGTGAACAATAGTTCAACAATTAACTTGATGATTCAATAATCACGTCTAACTAATAATAACTTTTTTTTATGTCTGGAAAATCTAGGGTTAGACATTAAACTATGAAAACATTTTCAATTAATTGTTTTTTCGATTAACGCAATCCATAAATAATTAATTGCTTCAAAATATATGCGATAAATGTTTTATTCATTTGTTTGTATAGAGATGTTCAGCAATTAATACGAATCACAAAAAGTCAGGTGTTTTTCAATGTTTTTTGTTCAATTCAATTGGGGTAACAATTTTACAAAAACAGTGTTTTAAATAATTAAATTCACTTCATTGAAAATCTATTAAATTAGTTATATTGGCCTATAATTGACAGTTTTGTAATTAAAACTTGTTTTAAAATGACATAAAAGCGTAGGAATGAAGCCAAACATATGATTGCAACGAATCCAAAGCGGGTCCCAGTTTTGTAAAAGTTGAATTACATAACAAATTACATAATTAATACTTTTATTTATTTATCAAAATTATACAATTTTTATAAATACTATCCTCTGTTTCAATACTTTTTATAAATACAGAATATATTAATATATATTTGATATAAAAGATAGTTTAAATTTCACTTTAAAAATTGCGTAAAAAATATATTTTTAAAATACAACACTTGAAGAGATCAAGAGATCATTTCTATATAACATTTTGATTTACATTACAATTGCAATCGTTTATGAAAATATAATTTGATTTAGCGTTCAAACGACTCCTATTGTGCGTTACTTTCGGAATAATTAATGAAAGAATCAATTCATACGAGTCGAGAGATTTTGCGGGAATTGTTAAGTAGTCTTATAAATGCATTTATAAATTTCAATCAATAAATATAATAATAATAAATAACAATATAGTGAACGACAAATGAGAGCTCATTGGAAACCATAGGCGCTGTCGGAATCGGAATCCTTTTCCCGTTGTCTTTCAGGCGTTGGATATCTTTTAGAATTCTTCTTATTTTTCTTGGATTTTTTGGTTACGTTTCCCTGAAATGCATTCAAATTAAATGATTAATCTTTATGTCAACACTACTGATGACAATAACTTACATTTTCGGGAATGCTTTCGACAGAACCCCAACTTTTGTGTCCAATTCCTGTCATTCGTTTGACTTTATTAACAGCTTTCAAACTACCGATTCGTATGAAGTTTGAATGCGAGGACTCCGATGCGATTCGGGCTAACAATACAACAAATTATTATTTTATTATTTAAAAACTAAAAAATAATTTCTAAACAAACCTGTAATCGATTTGGGAATAGAAGTCGGACCGGAATTATTGATCGCTATAAATATGTATAAAATTAGTTCAAAATAACATAAAACATACCATTAAAACACCGAAAGAAATGATATAAAAACAGTTTATTTGATTAATGAAAATAAATATAAAATTTTAAGTAAAAAACATGCAATAGATTGTTAGCAAACATTAAAACTCATTAAACAATGTCTTTGGTCTGCGTTTATGTTTACTCTTAATGAGCAAAGAGTTATAGAAAACCTTTTGCCGTACATTCGGTCCAAAGTTATTAGAAGTAATGATAGGTTTGGAAGAGATTTGAGAAGAAATGTTGGTTTCGTTAGTAAGTTGTCTCTTACGTTGACTCGCAATCACACCATTTGAATGCTTTCCCAACGAGTTTTTGTGGCTATTTTTGAGAACCAAGTACTGCGCCGGACGTTTGCCACTGTTGTCCCGTATGTTTGGGTCCGCTTCTGATTGTGTATTCAACAGTCAAACATTATTAATCAAGTTTTAAACATAACATCAAATATATGTCACTTACGGTATGTGTGAATAAGGAGTTCCATAATGTTATCGTTGCTATTAATAGCTGCCAAATGGAGAGGAGTGTATCCGCCGTGAGATTTCATGTTAGGGTTGACGCCATAAGTGCCGGCAATTAGTTTCACGACATCCGGTTTAGCAAACTTCGCCGCCCAATGCAGAGCTGTGTAACCATTGGTAAAGTCTTTATATGCGCACAGTTTTGGATCTTCTTTCAAACACAAAACCAGTGAATTGTAATCACAATTAGAGGCAGAAATTATCCATTTTCTGCGCAAAGGGTCCAAAGTCTGCACTGAACCCGAATCCGTCTCTTCACTGTCCCTAAGATTTCCGGACCGAGACTTCGGGCGCGTGTTGTTAAGTGTGGCCGCAGTTGTTGTCGATGGCATCGGAGGCTTCAGTTCCGTAAGCGATGCCATTTTATCGATCTTTTGCGCCCTTTCTTTGACACGACCGGGCGTTTGGGTCGACAACTCATGGATTTCTTTTAATTTGTCGATCTGTTGAGACGGACCGTCCGTTTGGTTGTCTTCGGAGTACTGGCAAAGAGTTAAGGAAATGGTAACACTATTTCACACCACGTTTTGAGCGATAATTATATTAAAATAATAATAACGGAAATCTGTTTCGTATACACAATGAGAGAAAATTATGGAAATAAAAATCGTATTGAAAGAGAAAATACAATTACAATATATATGTGATTGCATTCAACATATAAATAGACATTCAGTGAATAGAAAGGGCGGAAATTTTTCATTCAAACTCTCATTCAATTAAGTTCTCAATTAATTGTTTGAAATGAATTCAATTAAAAAACAGTTGTTTTAAATAACAGATGTTTTCTCATTGTCTCAACACATGAGCGAACACAACAGTAAAACACATCAACACTTAACTCAACCAAAACACAATTAGCCTTCAGTTTGGTCTACCATTAAGTGAAAACGGATGGCCTGTACTCTCATTATGTGGTAAATATATTATCTGTATTTTAATCTCTGTTTCAAACTTTAAAACTAATTTCCCGTTTAATATGTATTTAAATTTTAAAAACTTTTTATTCACAATTAGGACAAAGATTTGATGACTCAATAAAACAGGACTCATATGAGGAGTGAAAGTAAATTAGTTTTGATTGAAAGCGACAAAAAAGTGTAGTGTTTGAGAGATCATATGAAATGAAATATGAAGTGAAACCTTATCTCCATTCCTGTCGTCATCGGAGTGTTTGAACCGTTCGAGTGATGCCTTGTTTTTAGTGCCGACAGCGCTGTTACGTCTTCGGGGCGGCGGTTGTGGCGGACAATCGCTGTCGTCGTTATAGTGATGACTGAAACTCATGTGACGGCTCGGAGTCATCGGCTCTCTGTAGTGGACGGCCGTCGACAAGTCGGCCATTGGTTTGGTTTGAGTGACAATTGGACTGATTCTGATCTCATGTCTGGGCGGCGGTCGGTGTCTGGTGTCCACAATCGGCAAACCAATTGGTGGTTCCGTAAGCACCGGAAGACCGATGCTATTTAGCGAATCCATTCTCTCCACTCTTGGATGAGTCCTTACTTTAACTATATTATCACCCGTTGGGTCCAGTCTTTGGTGCGACCGAAGTGTCACAATGTTATTATCAATCAATGGTTGCACTCTTTGTTCGGCCATTTCTTTCTGAAACTCATCGTTCAATTGGTCCCTGAATTCTGGCCTCAAAACCAAATACTTTTGTGACTGAAATAACAACAAATAGATGACAACAAGTGGTGATGAGGTGGTGGTGACAGTGCTGTACCTCTTTGTTGATAACTGTGGCCAAACGGTTGACATAGTCTTTGAACGCATTCCTCGCCTCAACTGATGTCAAACGTAAAGACAATAATCAATTCAATGAATCACAAGTGAATGAGTGGTCAATGGATGACATACTTTGAGTGTTTTGGTCCGAGAGGTGATGTCTGAACGCCTTAACCAACTCGTGGTACTCAACGATACCTCCATTTTTCAACAGATAATACTTAATATCATTGATATTGAATCCCAAGACACCACTCATTTTGCGCTCACTTTTAATCAAATTACAAATTAATTACAAAAATATATTTAAATTTCGTATAAAAATATCANCATTTTTCAACAGATAATACTTAATATCATTGATATTGAATCCCAAGACACCACTCATTTTGCGCTCACTTTTAATCAAATTACAAATTAATTACAAAAATATATTTAAATTTCGTATAAAAATATCAAAAAATGTATTTAAAAAATGACTGCTTTTTGGCCACAATTTGGGCCCAAAATAATGGTTTGATTGTTATTTAAAAACACAAATCATTTAAACGTTAAATACATTGCGTTTTGAGTGACAATTGTTTAATGAAATGATTAAAAAATAAAATTATAATAATTTGAAAACAAAACTCAAAAAAGTTTTGACGAAAAAGTTATGGTTTTGTTGTTGAATGTGATGTTTGACTCACTTTTTGAAATAATTGACAGTTTGTGCCAAAAATGGCAAACAGTCGGCGCTTTACTCACGACAAACACCACACATGAAATACCTGTTATTTCTCATTCATTATTCAATCCATTCATTCATTCATTCAATTAGTTTATACTTTTGTCAAATATTTTGCCGTTAAATGCATTGAAATTTCAATCACAGCATCAAAACTGAAAAGTTTTGAAACTTTTTGTTGGCCATAAAATTCATTTACTTTTAGTTCACATTTAGACAGAACTATAAATTACAAAACATTGACAAATAGTGAGAAGAAATATGTGATAAAAATTATAATTTATTTGTTTTATTATGAAATGAGAGAAGAAAACGATTACATTATTTGAACGCAAAAAATATGTCAAACTTTGCATTAGA